AATTTTGTCGCATAGAGGCGTGCAGCTCCTGGGATTACACGACGCTCGGTTTTTCAAGAAGACAACTACTTTCAGACTATCCTGTTGTAATCAATTTTATGAGGTTTGCAATGCATACGAATGTGCATCATACTTGTGTGATATATTTTTTATAACAAACTATGATGCTGAGACGAACACCTCACTTGCTGAAAAAATCAAGAATATTCGTGAACACAACTTCGAAGGTGGCGCTAACTGACAACAGCGAATTGGATAAGGATACTCACAGAGCCAACTTGAATAGTAAGGTTAAATATCCTGTTTCATGAAACCGCAGTACATATATCTGATTTTCATATATTCAGATTCATTGTTATTACTTCGACGGGTTTAATACGAACCAACATAATGACCAGCTTCCAGTTGGCATGTTAGCTCAGTTTGTAGAGCACTGCACCAATATCGCAAAGGTCATACGTTCAAATCCCGTACGGACCTGAGTTTTCTCCGGGCTTTATTTCCACTACTACATAAGTAGGGTTCATTACTGAGAGGGTCGCCTTCATACAGATTGATTTTTATTATTTCTATTATTTATCCATTTATCTATTTATTCATACTTTCCTTTAATAGGTGCAGAGATGATTATTTTTGCATTTATTTTTTTATTCATATTTCCTTTATTAGGTGCACAGATGATTCTTTAGACCTGGGATGAAAATTATGGAATGGATGATCCTCATGTTTTAACTGTTACGGTGCAGGTCTTTGTTCGTTTTCATTTTGTCACGTGAAAAAGAAGTGTGGAGACACACTCGACTACGTCTCGTGTTTCTCCCTACACTTCTTTCGTGCTCTAGCCGCTTCTTGCGTTCTTTAAACAGAACAGAGTACAGTCAAGACTTCTCTGTTTGTTAAACGAAGTCTCTCTATCGTTTTTGTGCGTGGTTATTAATCCAATATGGTTTTCTTGCCAGGGCGAGTTCGACACGATTAATTACCACAGTGTCTCAATCTTAATGAGTAAGTGAAAGAGTGACTCACTTGCATATCGGAGTCACCATTATGCGGTCAGGACCTTCATTGGATTTATTACTTCTTCTAACTTGTCTATTGAACATACCAACTTCAAATAATTTATGTTGTGAGAGGTATAACCTGCAAATAAGCCTAAACTTTTGGATGAAAAAGAAAAACAAAAAAACGAAAAAAAAAAAAGACAGTTGGTGCCGCCATATCCATAATTTATGTGGGCATCGCCAATCTACAACAAGATAAAACTTGAAAAGGAAACTTGGAGAAAAAGTGATTAGTAGAAAAAACAAAAGTGAAGAAAAGAATTATATGCGAAGAATCGTGGATACATATCTACATTTTTACCATTCTATCTTCTACTTAAGCACGCTGCATGGATTATAAAGGAATATGAGAGGCTGATAGAAAGCTATGACAGAGTACCTTTTCCCCTTAGTGATAAAATTATTAAACCAATTAAACGGCCTGAATTAGCAAGTTTTACGAAATTCTGGCAATGCTCGTGCTTAATCCAAAAACTCCTCTCCATTGCTGTCCCCGCCCACCTTCTCCACTGCTTTTCTGGCGGTAAAAAACATTTAACTTCAACTTTCCTCTAACATTTCGCTGGAATCGTTAGGTTCTCATTCCTATCTAAACAGATTAAGAGCGCATTAGTCGTAATTCCCAGCAGGATGTGAAAGGTGCTATTAAATTTTGATGAAGAAAGAGTCATTGTTTCTGAATTTTAATCAGTTATAGGAACAGCAATGTAAATCTCTGTAAAGAAAATTAAAGGTTTGTTTATCTGGGCGGGAATATCGGGTAAAAAAATATATTTTATGCATCATTTAGGCTCTTTGGACGAACAAAAAATGAATCAACCCTTGGAGAGTCTCGGTGAAAGAAAAAGGGAAAACACCGCGACGAGTAGGCTTTTGTACATTATGCTAGCATTTTTTCGAGCATTTTAGTGAGGCAAAAGCATTGAGCATTATTCGAGGATTTTAGTGGGATTTTCCCGGAAAATTAATTTTTTTGCGAGAAAATAAAATAGAAATTAACTTTTTCAGTCCCGCTTTTAATTCACGAAAAAACCTAATACAGCTGAGTGGAACTGGAGACTGAGGACAAGTCAGCGGTTTTACCTTTCGAGACTCAAAAGGCGGCCATGTTTGTTTTCTTCGTGACCTCTGTAAGGCCCTGTTTACAAGCAAGGAGGGTAACCCTTGTGCTAGGGTTATCCTAGCAGGCGGGTCAAAGATAGCCCGTGTTTACAAGCAAAATTTCACAGGTAGGGTTACCCTACCACCCGGGACAACTTAACTATGCTTGGTAACCGCACGCATTGTTATCAATGTTCAAAGGGTCTGGAAACAAGTAACAAGTTGTCCCGGGTAGGCGAGTTATCCCCAGCAGAGCGTTTACAAGGCAGCTAGGGTTACCCTAGCGCTAGGGTAGCCCTAGTGCTCAGCTAGGGTTACCCTAGCTAGTTACTCGGACTTAAGTACCGTAAGCACTATAGTTGGTAGATTAGATGTAACTATAAGTGTCAGCATTGTCTTTGCTTTTCTTCCTTATCATAAAACCGATGATAAATACCTCATTTCTATTTTTCTCACACTCAACAAGGTTTACTCGATCGTTAACTACTTTGAGTTCTCATTCTCAAGCTCTTTCTTTCTTTCTTTCTTTCTTTCTCTTTGTTGTTTATACCTTTCTTTCGATCAGTCGTATTGACTGCTGTGGGTTTGTTTCGAAACTTTCAATCAAAATACACTCTTATTTTTGTTGTTAATCATTTTTTTTCAGGTGAAGCCTGCCACTGATCATCATGCGAAGTTTTCTTTCCCTTTAGTAGAAGAAGTGTAGTTGGTTCCAAGTCGGAATTCACTTTCTTTCTTAACTTTTATTTAAGCTGGAAAACCTAGACCTTACACAGCCTATGTATTAAAGGTTGACTTATCTAAAAATCATTTTATGGTGTGCATTTATGAGTGCTCTTTAAGTTCCACGATCGTTCAAATTTTTCAAAAGAGGAAAGGTTCCTGTATAAAACATTTCGATTTGCAAGAAGTTATTGGAATCAACAGCCTAAGGAACCTCCCAACGTCATCAACATAACTAATTATAACGCCTTAATGCAGTTATTTCATGATTTTAAAACAAATCAAAGCAAGTTCGAATAGGTTCACTCGGAGGACTTGAAGATCTTTACTTTCATTTTACATTGGCCTCCGCTTGTCATAATCCCCTTTACACTGTAACCATCATCTAGGTGTTTCTCGTGCCAGCCGTCCTCCCCTTTGAAAGGGTTGTGATTGTAGTACGGAGAAGAATACATATCGTGGTCAGCTTCCTAAGAAGAACCCTTTCAAGTGCTGTGTGACATGACAACTAATGGCAGAGGATGGACCACTTTTCAAAGGCGCATGGATGGCTCTGTAGACTTTTATGTTGACTGGGAATCATACAAAAAAGGCTTTGGAAATCTGAAGGGTGAGTTTTGGCTTGGAAACGATTACATTCACCGCCTGACTGAATCTGTCAACATGACGGTTCGCATTGATATGGAGGATTACGAAGGTAGGCGAAGATTTGCGGAGTACACGACTTTCTTTGTGGCCGACGAAAGCGATGACTATCGAGTGACAATCAATGGATACCGAGGCACCGCAGGCGATGCACTGCTATCTTTCTCCAATCCTATCAGGTATGTTATAGGCATTTCATAATCAGTCTTTGCTGCTATGCAGAACGAGTCGTATAAAGCTACTAAATCATGTAGTACTAATAACTGTCCTAAGCTGAAGATCCTCGCAGGTCGATCAGTGCTTTGTGCAAATGACGAACCAAATGTAGAAATATTGCATTCCGATATACAGGTATCATTGTTGACCAGGTAATCCAACTTCAAGCTTGTTGCTGGCCATAATTGCTCCTTCCGACGTCATGACACTACTTTTGTTCTCTGCTGTACTATACATACAATGTTTCTTTAGAAATTGCTTACAATTCCATTTACCTTTGACCTTCCTGATAAGGATACATATTTCTGACCATGTAATGTTACCAGGAGCATTGCCGCCTAGATCTTCCCCATTTTCACGCGAATTTTTTTCTAATTTTTAGAAATATGAGTTTTACAACCAAGGACAGAGACAACGACGGCCCTAACAATGGAAACTGCGCAAAAGCCTACAGAGGTGGCTGGTGGTACAATTACTGCCATGACGCAAATCCAAATGGTTTGTACCAGGGTGGAGGTAAAGCACAAGGAATTACATGGAAACCATTTCGAGGACAAGATTATTCGTTAAAGAACACTGAGATCAAACTTCGACCAGCTTGATTTCATTTGTAGAACCTAAAAAGCTGCATGTAGAAGCCTTCAGCGAATTAATAATTATGGTGATGATGATAAAAGTAATTGTAATAGTAACAATAAGTTGCAAGCTGTTTGATCGGAAGATGAGCGAAGAAAGTTTTTTAAGAGGAAACAACGCGTCCTTGTCAAAATATGTCCGATAAAAATGCACATCAACATGTTACATACTGCACATAATTACAAGGGTTAAAAAGTAAAAAAAGGGGAAGATCTAAGAATTCATCTTTATAGCTAAATTATACTTAAAGGTAAATCTATTAAAACAACTTTCTTTAAAACTTACTTTATTTTCATTTGGTCTTCAGCAGGATCTATTTCGATGGCGCGCAGACGTTTCTTTGTACCTGGCATGACAACTATGCAATATCTGCAATGGATGTTGTCCGGGTTTCAATTCATTGAAAAAGAAAGTACTCTCTTTCCAAAAAGCTCGAGAATATTCATAACCAACTGACGTGTAGTCTCTCATGAGAAATTTTTCTCAATAAAACTTTGCTCAGAGTGGTACCGTCAGAGATTGATTGACTAACCAAGGAGTATGAAATGAGATCTGCCGAAAAACTTTTCCTTCCTGGTGACTGTTATGAAATTGACATCGCCAAATGGTCTTGAAATATTACAAACTTCGTTACAAATCACTCGGTAATAACTCATTGAAGCCTTTTTGGTTGTAGTAACGTGTGTATTCAGTTCTGGCTTTTGTCCTAGCTCGGTAACACAAAGCAGCGCTACAACCGCTGAGCTACAACTATGAACAGCAGGGGATTGAAATAGTTTGTTTGAGCATGATTATCGTGGTACAGCTAAAAATGATTAAGTAGTACATCGAGAAATTCTGTGCATCATAGCTGCACTACTTTATGGTCTACTGAGAAAGTCACTTATATTGTGGATTATTGGAAACGAGACCATGCGGACGGTAAAAGGTAGTTTTCTTATCCGATCGATCAAGATGAATCAGCGTTGATAATTGGTTCAAAATTTAATCATTCGTCCTGCGCATGCTACGATGGGTCGCTTAAGGAGCGAAGCACAACTGAATGTTTCTACAATCAGTACAGTTTAGTCTCGCGCTCCTGTGTTCGAGCTGTTTTAATTCCCAACAAGATCCTCCGAGGAGTTCGAAGAGAAGAGCGGCAGCTCAAAAATTAAGGTCAAAACTAGAACCCGAAATTTCTCTTGTTCGTCTCCCTCATCTCATTCCTTCAAAGAACAACAACTCAGTAAAAACAATTTCCATTTCAGCTGACAACGACTTCTCCTTTTTGAGGAGGTACATTTTCCTGACGCCATAAATAGTTTATCAAAACAAAAATCCAAAATAAGCTGTACACACGTAAATAACACTGAAAAGTCTCAACTGAGTTATTTCCTGGCGGTTTATGGCTAGCTTCCTAACATTTGGAGATCATTATGGGATAACGATTTCAAAGTACTCCTCAAGCGTGGAGAGACGTTTATTAGCATTTGATTGTTCGAAAAACTTACACTTCTCTTACATCAACGTTGCCTAAAGCCATTTCCGATAAAATATCGGCGAAAAACCTTTGATTTCTCTCCAAAATCGCTTTTTTGGATCATGGAATGCGCAGCAAACTATGGTTATATCTTTCCTTTTAGCAACTTGCAATGTTCTCTCTCGCTTCCCCCGGCGTTCCAAAATTCTTTGCGCAAACAAAAGGATCCGATTAGTGCAACTCAT